AGGGTCAGGCGTATTAAAAAATCATGAAAATCTTTCCTTTTTTAGATAATTTTTGATAATGCCAGTCAGAATTTTATTTCCTATTATAGTAACCGACTGGCATTATCATAATTCCGGCCCTGAAAAAATGCGTACACTCATAAAAGATTTTTTCATCACCTGACCCCTATATATATATTTCTGGGTCCTGTTACGGTCTGTAATTTTCGTTATTTTCCCTCGTAATATTAACACGTCTTCGTTTCCAGTCCTCAGCCTTGAGAAGCGTTATCGTGTATTCAACATGTTCTCCGGATTGTAAAAAATCGAAGACTACTACAAAATAGTGACCCGCTGCAAGTGTACATAAAAAATATATCCGCAAATTTTCATATACCAATCATTAATAAAAGTATCTTTCTGAAACCTTTTTTGACCACTATAATTATATATGTATTATTTTTAATTTTTAAAATAATTGATTTTTACTCTGATGCATAAAAAAAAGTTCAAAAAGTTATATAGGTACCCCAGAAATTCTGCGTTAAATCAAGTGATTATCACATATCACATGATTGTGATTTGTAATGATAAACGGTTTCGTAACCACATAAAATTAATATTTAACATTTTGTTTAAAATTTTAAATGTTGAAAATCACCTTTAAAAAAGTTCAAATAATTTTAAAAAAGCGAATATTTCATAATTTAATTAATTTACTATTTTATCTACGAAGTAAATCACTTTTCTAAAAACATCGTATGATCTTTCCAAGTCGTGGATTTGTAATTTGTCTTTACTTATTAATATTAGTTACTAAATTTTTAACGCCCTTGAAACTTGTTTGAACTGCTTGTGCCCATCATTTATTACCAATATTTACTTGTTCCTTTAAAATTCTTAATGCTTCATGTAGTATTAATTTATAATCTTTAAATAGTTGCATTGTTTATCACTTGTTGAATTTACAGTTGTAAATTAGGTAGATTCATCATTATTCATTAAATTCGTTATGTTATTAATTTAATCAACCCATTGCAATTAAATCGCTCAATTAGTATTCGATCTCTGTTTTTCAATGGATTCATTTCTAGGTCTTTTTGCAAGAGATTTATATTGAGAACATTTATACCAAAATGTTAAAATAACAGCTGCTTTCTTTGAAGTATAAGAATCCTTAAAATATAATAATAGCCATCATCGTCCATCATATCAATTGAAATATTGCAATTAAAATAAATCATTTTTTAAGTATTCATTAGTATCAATTTCTAAAATCTATTCAAAAAGCTATTTTGATATTTCCTCTAGTGTTAAAAGTTTTGAATTAAATTGATTAGATTGTTCATATTGTAAAGTAGCATTATGGCGACATAATTATATTACAAGTTTTAAACTGGCATGTATTTTCACTAATGAACGCTTCCAAAGGTAAACTTTTCGACATTTTTTACATTTCTGCAAATTAATATCCATATTTTGAAGTGGAAAAGTGTAAAAAAATACCTCGTTGTAAAAAGTTTAATTTATTTAATACGTAATCGTTTATCCCAATCATGTGATATGAGATAATCACATGATTTAACGCAGAATTTTTTGGGGGTGCTCTTGGGGTAGTTGAGTACAGCGCTAGAACATGTGTTGAATACGTATTAAGAAATTCATGTAAATAATAAGAATTATTTAGGGTCTCAAAAATCTCAATTGATAGACTGATGAGTGATCTGATGATCAAAAAAATATCCAAAAGGTTCCATATTTTGAATTTATGGCCAGAATATTACGTGATATAATTTATACAATGAATTAAATGACTTGATCAATTGTCAAATGACTCATAATCAGAAATTAAGTCACTGAGTCCGTATATATTGAACAAGAGTAATGATTGATGTTTAAAATTTAATTTTATTAATTTGAAATTATTTTACAAGTTTAATTTGTTATGAAATTTTGATGGTTATACGGACATCACCTTTTTTTTGCTCTATATTCAGATTTGAGACTTTTCAATAATCCATCAAAATTTAAATGAATTAAACTAAACTAATTCGCTAAAATCCAAATTAAATCAATAATATCTGGCTTACTTACATTTATATCTGTTATATTAAACGTACTGTACATACTGCATATTATGATCAGAAATGCTATATACAGATCGTATATTAAATTATGAATCTTGATAGCATCCGTAAAAATATCAATATAATATTTCACTTTCATAAAGCAAGTTTATAGGTATTTTGTAAACTTAGATGGAATAAAATAAAATGAAATTTCATACTATTCAATTTTTTTTTTTGTTATTAATAAGAATTTTTAAATCAAGAGATCCTGATAGTCCCATATGATGATATATTACCTCGAAATTGATGGAATTATTTTATTCAGGTTACGGTACATTTCACTGAGATCCATTTCATCAAAAGGACGGTTCGCCGAAAGTGTATTTTATCGAATCCATTTATTTCACCGAGTCGTCCATTTCGCCGAATTCCATTGGACATTTCGCCGAAAATGGTAGCGATTAACGTTTTTTGTCTGGAGCGTAGCGAAAGATTTCTATTATAGAGCACTTATAATGAACTAACGATTTTGGATTAACCCATGAAATTTTCCTTCCGTCCATCCGCTGACGTCACCTTATTAATTACCCCTGCTTTTCCTTTCTTGATTAAGTATCCTGATTTTGTAACACTGCTTATTTTATTTGGTGCTACATATTTTTATATTATTAAACAATTTTTTTTTTAATAACTATCGACATGAAATATGAAGAGAATTGATTTTTAATGATAAAAAAAATTATTCAAAAAAAATACTGGATCCATAAAAAGTTTTTTTTTATTTAGAAAGAACACCTATAAAATAATAAATTGAGTATGAATTATGAATATAGCATTGTAGTTTTCTTAAAGTTATAATTTCATATTTAATAAAATTACTTACAATAGTTAGTATTTACGAATTTGTTCATGAAGTCAATGACGTAATCCATTAACAGGTAACGATCGGCACTATTATTTGGCCAATAAACTGTACGATTTTTTTTTTGTACGATATTAATGGAGTTCAAAAACGTTTCTTTCTGATTACTATCATTTTTTTAACAAATTATAATACCGAATTTGTAAGACAAAAACAATTTTTTTTTTTTTTCTATATACTTCTAATTTTAAATTTTATTTATTTATTTATTTAACACAATTAGGAATAATTGTTGATATTGTTTCAAAGTTTAACAATAAGCAATGATCAGATAACTCCGAAACTCCGAAAAGATCGCAATAATTTAAACTCTAAATGTAAATGTGTAATACAAACAAATCAGTAACGAATTATGTGAAATGAAATAATTGGTTGTTAAAAAAAATTTTTTAAGGAACATCGTCCCATTTTCGACATTTTCGATCAAAAAAAAGGGTGAATTTATTCCATCTGTCTAATTAAAAAAATTGTCATATTTAGATTACCCTGCATAAATAATTTGATTGCGTAACATTGAAAAGTGTGATATTCTTGCGTCCGATCTATTTCGTATTTAATTAATTAATTGACCTTCCTGACATAACTACACCATTATCTTCCTGACTACAATAACCAATAATACATTTCCGGTTAGTTAAATTTTAACTTGATTTTTTTTATCCCTCTTTTTATTATTATTCTTTCATTCGGTTAACTTAACCAAAATTAAATTTTTCTTATTTTTTTTTTTTTTATTTTTATTGATTTTTTAGGGGATTTTTTTTTAATCAAAATTTTCGGAATTTTTTTTTTT